AAAAAAAAAAAAACTATTTTGCACGAAAGAATAATGAGAGACCATCACAATTTTCCATTTTGAAACAGAAATGCGCGATTTAGCGATTTAGCAAGTTCGCTGCTTAAGTCTTTTGTTTACATAAGACCAGATTTCGCTTGTTATCGGTTTGTCACAAAGAACGGTCACAGTTCGCAGTCTTTTGTGTATATCTTTTAATAAAAAAACAAACACATTTCGTGGCGTTTCTTGACCTCCCCTTGAGTTTATCCTCCTATCCTTGCATCTCTTCGAACTATCAAACTGCAATGTAAGTACATATGTATGTATGCATTTGTATTGTTTATGCAGCAGAAACGCCATTCGAACGCATCCGATCAAATCGAGATGCTAATCGACGAGAAGTGCCGCATCCTGAATAAAACTGGCACCTCCAAGTCCAACGCGCTCCACCTTGCCAACTGGATGAAGGGTCAGCTGGATAAACAGCAGGAGCAGGCTCGTCTGGCGGCTCAGCGTTCGCGTGAAAACATCAGTCGTGAAGATGAGCACCTGCTCTACCCGGAGAGTGATCAAGATGAGCGCATTACTTTCTGGACTCGACAACAGCTGGAGAGGCGAACCAAAGAATTGAATTTGACCAAAGAGAATGGTAATATGAAGGCACGGCCGAATTTCGGCGGTAAGCGTCTGAGCGGCGTCGAAGAGCTTAGCATGAGTGATGCCTACTCGGAGAACGTTAGCCAGCTGAGTCAGTCTCACAGCACTACTTCGGATAGCCAGGTAAATTTCTGTTTATCTTCATTTTTCACACTCATAGAATACTGCTTGTAAGCAGCACTCCACTGAAGCTTTCGTCTTTCGTTCATGCTTTTCTAATCATTGTCAGATCACGGTACGTTCTAGTCCCATTGTGCTTGATAAGCTAGCCGTCTGCCGCCATTGCCATAAGAACTGTCAGCAAGCGGCCATGTCACATGCTTTTTCCGCCTCACAAGCGCACCCGTCTGCTGCGGACTCGTTGGTAGCTGAAAAAGATGCAGCTGCCGACGGTAGTGGGGGTGGCAGTGCGCTGGTGTGTACCTCACTTAAGGTGCAGCATAGCCAGTCGTCGCCTAATCGCTGCTGCAGACTCAATGGCAACGTCAGTCAGGCGGGCAGCACCACCAGCATATCATCGAGTACCATAACGGGCGACCAGCCCAGCGAACACTCATCCAAGGTAGTGGCTAGTAGTAGTAAACGTGAGACGGGCGACACGGAGAGTGATGTGGCCCAACTAATCACCGACGATATTTCGCAATCAGAGGCCACGGACGACAGCATTGGTGGGATACCAAGCAGCAGCAGCGGCGTCGCCGCTGTCGACGAAGCGCGGCGACGACTCGCCGACAGCTTCAGTAAACTACGAATTTTAGACGAGCGACGTGAGGCACGGGAGTTAGATGGCCAGCTAGGACCGCGGCCTGTTGCCCGAAGCCAGGATCTCATGCAGAATCAACAGACAGCTTTAATGAATGGATATTGCTTGTCGAATTCATCTGGAGGCGATGGGGACAGCGGTAGTAAAGTGGGCAAAGATAAGAAGCCACATCCGCAACCAAGAACATACAGAGTAACACTGCAAACTGCTACAGAGGAAACCGCAAAGGAGGCCGCCGATAATAAGGTCAAAACCACTGTCACTATTGCCGAAACGGCGCAAATTATTCGTACACAAGAACAAGACCGGGAACAAGTAGGAGATGCGAGCATTTATAAGTCAACGAGTACACCAAAAAAATGTCCCAAATCAGCGCATAATCCACTAACACCAAAATCACCAAAGTCACCCGGCACGCCATCGCCATTATCTCGTTTCACGCCATGCAACTGTCAGTGTACACCCGCTGATTTTCAAAATACCACGTTAAGCCCAGATGAGTTGGAGCAGCAGACTTGTAAAATTATCGATTCGCCGAAGAAGTCCCCGCAGATGCCACATCGGCTGGAACTCCAGCAAGCAGCGGACACTATAACTGAAAAGCCGCACAAGCACTGCAAGTGCGTTTGCGGTGGACAACCGCCGCAGGTTGGTGCAGAAGACGAGGTATCGTCTTTCGTATTTGCGGGTTTGACAGCGAAACAGTTAGGCGCAAAGCCCACACCTACGGCTCCAGTGCCGACACCGACGTTTGCCTCTGCGGCAGCTTCTATTTGCGAAACCAACTTCGTACCGACTATTGCCGTAGTGCCACCCACGCCTGAAGCAACTCTCACCATGACCTCCACAAATGTTTGGGACAACAGTGGGATAAATCTAACAACTGGCACAGCCTCACAGCAACAGCTTAGTAACACACCGCGGCAGGCAATCATCGAACACATACCCGAAGACTCCTGTGATGAGTCACCGCTAGACGAAGAGCTGCCATATCGTCCCATGAGCAATGCCCTACGGCGTTACGGCACCATGTCTAGTCTGGAGAAGCTACCCTCCGACGATCGCATAGACGGAGAGCTTGATGAGTTAGACAACGACGATGACAATGCAAATGATATGATTGATGTGGCCGACGATGACGATGACGATGATATGGATGACAACGCACGTGCCGACACGGTGGACCATGTACGCGAGACAATCAAGTCCAGTGTGTACACCAGCGAGGAGGTGGCCGGCGGATCCTGTGTGCTAGTAGGCGGCGTGTGGACAAGTCGGACAAGTGGGCTGGCCGGTGGTAACAAGATGTCGTTTTTCGAGGAGTCGCGCGCATTTATCGACAAATACTTGGGTAGATGGAACCAAGACCAGACAACATCGTCGACCGCGGCCACAACTTCCGAAACCGACGAACAAGCAGACGAATGCACCTCGGGCGCAACGTCCGGCGAAGAAGTGTGGGGTACACCAACAAGCGGTGGCGACAACGACGATATGCAGCTAATGAACTCCGAAAATACGTACTCGGTAAGAGAACTGGCAGAGTTTATTCGAGTTGTGATTATAACGATTGAATGCATTACTGCTTTTTAGTCGCCAACTAAATCGAGCAACTCACTAAATGATGATGACGATACGGAGCTAATGATGGATGAGTTGCTTATGGCTCCGCCAATGACGGCCAGTACAATCCGAGGTCTATTGCCGCGGTAAGTAGAAGCGCAATGCAAGTTATTTTGGCATAGGCGCTGAGATTAAGGATATTAGTTTACTTAGCAGAGAAATAATTTACAAGTATTTATAAAAAAAAAAAAAAACAATGATGTAGTTTTAGTGCTAATTTTTCTAACGAAAACTGGAGTAGAAAGTAATATATAACAGAAACTTTTACTGTGTACGTTTTTTTAATGACGATTAAAGTCATCGACAGGTACCGTTAGAAATGTAGAAGACTTTACTTGTTATTGGTAAGATAATTTTTGAAGTACTAAAGTTCGAATATATTTATACACATATTTACAATTTTCCTTTTGAAGTATTTTATCCTAACTTTCTACATACATATCAGGTGTAGTAAATATTATTTAATACGAGTATTTGGCTTCCAGGCGATCTCTTTCGAAGTCTTCTCAGTAGAAGTAATCGATTTTATACATGATAAATATTAGTTTTTAGAATTTTAATCGTAGTGTAATGAGACGATCACTAGCTTTTAATTCTCATTGTTTTTTTTCGATTGTAATTGCCATCATTTACATCATTTTGATATCATCAATTTACATATCAAATAAAATATCCATTCATCAACGCCGTAGACGTCGCTTAGAGCCACTTTTCGAGGAGGAGACGGAAAGCGACGAAGAGAAGACCCAACAGGAAAGTGAAGATGTCAAAAAGGTGGGTCGGCTTTTCGCGTTTGCATGCACAATTCTCGAACCCAATTGAAGAAGTTTCCTTTATCCCATTATTTACGTATTGATTGAAGTAAACTTTAATTTACTCAGATCACATTTTTACTGCTTTTGAAATTTTCGATTTCCTCGCAATTTTATTACTATAAATAGTTGGCTAGTATTTCTTATTATTCGTTGCAAATGTCTAACATATCTAATCTAACACTGTTATCACGATTGATTAGCCTAATCATTACAATTCATCGCAAATCGTGTTCGCTTTCATTCAATTTCTTTCTTCCTTTCTCCATTATTTTTGTTTCTTTTCATATTTCATATTCTTCATGCTTTCTGTTGCCCATTGATGTATGCACTCACGTTGCCATTTTGCCATGTTGGCAATACGCCACGTTCTCAATATGTTTTGTGTATGTATGTACGTATGTATGTGTATGTGTTTTGGTATTCTAGAAAGTCGTAGTGCGACTAGTGAAGCTCTAGCACAGCTTGCAACATTGCCAATTCATACAGATCAAGAAATGACATTTGCTCTTCGCCACTTGTGACGAGGCAATTGTCCGCGATGACAACTACAAAAATAGCAAAATACATTATACTAAGAACCAAATGAAAACCAACACAAGCAACTAATATCATCTACTAACAATCCAAAATTAAAACAAAAAAAAAACCACAAACGATTATCGGATTCGGCTTCCGCAAACTCCCCAAAAACTTAATCGGACTTCCAACTTACCAAAAATACTAAGAGCTGAACCATTTAAAACTGCTGGCACACACACCAGTACGTGTCTCTTACAAATACAATCAAAACAGAAGCACTAATACTAATNACAAACGATTATCGGATTCGGCTTCCGCAAACTCCCCAAAAACTTATTCGGACTTCCAACTTACCAAAAATGCTAAGAGCTGAACCATTTAAAACTGCTGGCACACACACCAGTACGTGTCTCTTACAAATACAATCAAAACAGAAGCACTAATACTAATTAAATCTATTACTAATATCCGCTTGCAACATTAAAAACTAACACCCACCATTCAGCTTGAATTATATCTAAACTAATCATCAAGCCCCACACTACTAAAAATCATTCCATTGGCAGTCTTTTTGCACCACAAAACAACACCTGCTCACCCATCATTCACGACTCTCCAGAGCCAAATACACACCTACCACAACAAACTTATAACTCGCCTTAAACCAGAATTGATTAGTTGAATTCTATTCCCAACAATTGGTAGGGGGAAACAACGACAAATGGCCACTATTTAAAGGATTCAGCTGGAAGCTCAAGCGACGAGGATCTCTCGACCGAGGACAGCTACGAGCTGAGGAAGGAGGAAGAGGCCGCGAAGTCGATGCGGATACCGATCGAACCGAACGCAGCGAGGGCACCACGTACACCTGGTCCTATTCCACCGCCGGCATCAAGGCCGATGAGTTGGGAACAGGCGTTCACCCAGTCGCAGCCTGCGCATCTAGTGGACACCGCGCATCTGCCANCACACTACTAAAAATCATTCCATTGGCAGTCTTTTTGCACCACAAAACAACACCTGCTCACCCATCATTCACGACTCTCCAGAGCCAAATACACACCTACCACAACAAACTTATAACTCGCCTTAAACCAGAATTGATTAGTTGAATTCTATTCCCAACAATTGGTAGGGGGAAACAACGACAAATGGCCACTATTTAAAGGATTCAGCTGGAAGCTCAAGCGACGAGGATCTCTCGACCGAGGACAGCTACGAGCTGAGGAAGGAGGAAGAGGCCGCGAAGTCGATGCGGATACCGATCGAACCGAACGCAGCGAGGGCACCACGTACACCTGGTCCTATTCCACCGCCGGCGTCAAGGCCGATGAGTTGGGAACAGGCGTTCACCCAGTCGCAGCCGCCGCATCTAGTGGACACCGCGCATCTGCCAGTCGCTGTTCTGAAGGCATCATCCTGCGAGTACCTACTCGAACAGCGTACAATGGTGCCGTTGCGCACCACGAGCATTACCAGCAGCCCGCCTACAGCGAGAGCCGCGTCGGCAGGAGCGAAATCGCTAATGCCCCCGCAATTGGCGACGATGGAAGTGGAGGTAGAGACGGCATCCCAGCAGACACTCACGATGCAACTGGAGATGAAAGCGACGATGAGGAGTACTACTACTATGATGATGACGACGACGCGGACGATCAAGACGCCGCCAACGCCACGGAGGGAACCTCCTTCATCGACTTCTACAACAATCAGCAGCGCGAGCGCCAGTACCGCGAACAACAGCTGCAGCATCGCCAGTGGGACTACCCAAACTACTACCAGCGTATCCACAACGACTGTGCGGCCGGCGAAGTTCGTGCCGCCTCCACCACCACCGCGCCGACTGTTGCTGACACAAACAAATTTGCAGACAAGTGGCGAGAGTCAAACGAAGGCGGTAAGTATTCGTCCGTTCGAATCGTGAAAATTTCGCAAGCTTTTAAATTCTATTTTAGCCAACACCACCTCGACGAAGTTCTGGCGCTTCTGCTGACGCTGGCTGCTCAGCGGCTGCCACCACCGGCGCCGCAACAAGCAGCGCAAGTGCCCCGCACGCAACCGCTACGCCTACCACAAAAGCACCACCGTCGGCAGCGACGGAGACGGCGACAGTGAAGCTGACACCAGCAAGTGGCAGTCAACGTTCTGCTGCAGCCGGTACCGCGGCTACCACAACCGCAAAGCGTGCATCGTCAACGATAATCGAGACGTCGCTGCTGGGGTCGGGCGACAGCAAGGCAGTCTCCACATCATCAACAACAGCTTCGAAGACGACGAAGGCGTTACAGCAGGAGCGGCGGACACAGGCATCCCAGAAAGCCTCAGTCGTAACAGCGACGAAAACGGTGCCAAAGACTCGCGACGACAGCTCTTCAAAGTCGGCCACTGCCCTAGTGCCCATTGGTTCCGGTTTAAGTCCACGTCTAGAGATGCGACTGGCGCTCAATCACGACATTCTCGGCGACGAAGACTTGATATGCTACGATCCTGGTCCCGATCTAACAACAATTCTGGGGTATGTGTTTCTTCCTTCCCCTTCCGCTTTCACTACAACTATTGGAATATCTCACTTTTTAGGCACGACCTCTCCACATTTCAACGACTGACGGGTCGCGATTTATTGAATCGTTCAGCAACGAACCGCGTTCAGCCAAAAGAGGCTGTCATATCGTTCTCTCAACAGCGAAACTCGAAGATGGACACACCGACGGTGAATCGGCGTCCACGTCCGAGTTACGCCAGCGCCAGCAGCTCCCTAACAGCCGGTTTGGGTGGTGGCGCTCGCGTCGGCGGCGCTCCACAACCCCTGCAACCAAATCGAAATACATGGAGCAATTCTGCATCTGCGGATCGGAGCAGCGACGTCTGCGCAAGAGGCGGCGGAAACAGCAAAAGCTACAACTACAACACCGACGAGAGCAAATTAAGCGATCTCGAAATCTTAGCGAGACGCGAGAAGACATACTGCATGTCTCAATTGAGGAGTGGCTCACGAGCCAAGACGAAGACAATGGCGATGGAGACAACAACCACAATGGCAATGGAAGCAATGGCGGCGACGATGAGCAGGGATTCATCGACCAGTCCTCAAGCGACGATGGCGAGGAGTACTACTTCGCCGGGCGCGGAGACTGAAAGCGGTAACACCCGAGTACGAAGGATCGGACGCGATGAGAGTGCGCTCATTGACGCGGGCAAAGGTTCCCGGTTGTGAGTAAAAAATCTAACAAATACCAAGAAAACTGACTTTTTTGACAGCACTCCATTTTAGAATTAACTTCATCAAGCGACGCAACTCGGAAAGTCCGAACCGTTCCCAGAGCTCACTAAGCGAATCCAACGCCAGTGGCACACCAGTCCACCGGCTAGCGGTACAGATGTCGCCGCGAAAAGATAATGTAAGCAAAAACCAGCTGCGATTCCGCTGCTCTGCTTTTATTGAATCCGTTTTTATTTTCAGGATAAACCCTCGCTTAATCGCCGACTGTGGAAGCAGATCACTAAACGGCGGCGCGCCAACTCAGTATCGGAGGTAGCCGCCAGCTAATTTTGCACACACATGCCGCCAGCGACACTCCCACGCACATCCACGAACTGTTCCCCGAATTCACGCCACTGTCTGTCTCAAACAAAATCCGTGCAATTTGATAGTTAAAATTCTCCAAATCTATGGCTAATGAGCCG